TTCCAGCTCCGTGACACCTGATTTAATTGTGTGAGGCACCACGAACACGTCGTTTGGCTGGGAGCAGCCGATTAGAACGCGTCGTGATGTGCTACACGACTCAAGCGAAACACAAACATGCATCTTGATAATTGATGATTACTGGCTAATGATAAGAACAGGCATGTTTGCAGCGGGGAGTGTGGATGAGCTAACGAGCATCTGTGTGTGTCTGCAGGATGGCAGTGGAACCCTCTATCGCAGTGGCTCTCTGGGGAAGCTCAGGGATGTTTTGCGTCGCAGCAGCGAGATGCTGGTGAAGAAACTGCAGGGCAACGTACCCCCTGAACCTCGCAGCACCAAGTAATAACTCGAGCAATCCTCTCTTGTGATGGATGTTTTACGTTATAAATGATTCCAAAGAAATGTACTGCTTCTACAAGTTCTCAGAGGGCTTTTCTAGTCTTAATGACACCACAGAGCCCTTTACATGATAAGCCACATTAAACCTTTCAAGATATGTTCTTAGTGCAATTTCTCTCCACTGAATTTAATTAGCAGGTCACAGTTTATTGGACATTTACTCCCCAAACGTGGTCAGGCCTGGTTTTGTGTGTGTGCTCTCCTCTCAAAGAAACAAATGCCTAATCTTTGTTTTCTTTGTCCATCAGTATGAAGCGAGCCTCTTCCTTGAACTATCTGAACAAATCCAGCGATGAAACGTTCCAGGTGATGATCAGTTTTTGTAAAGATTTGCATTTTGTTGTTGTATTTATTTATTTTTGAATGCTCCACTTGAACCTGTGTTGTTTCCTTGCCAGAATCGAGGGGGCAGTAATTTCAGGGAGAGCCGTGGGCTCAGCTCCAGCACTGTGGATCTCTACTCTGGAAACTGAGCAGCAGGCGGTTCTGTTCACCCATCCAAAGACACTACTCCCCCTCCTCTTTCTCCCTTTGGCCTTCGGCAACAGAACCGTCGGACAGTGTCGAGTCCAGCACGCATTTTGTCCACACGCCTGACCCAAAGATCCTCTTAGATTCCCACTCATCAGGATGAATACCTACGTAACCAGTCTGATATTTTTCCCGTTGCCACATTTCTGCATTTCCCTCGTCGTAGTCCTAATGTCTTGTTGCCTTGGTGCGTCCTAATTGTGGCCAAGAAAACCTGCCGTACCTCATCTCTGCCCTTAATTCATAATCACTGACTCTGCACTTTGAGTTCGCCTCTCGCCATAAATGCCACCTTTTGACAGTAATAACCGATTTTTAGTTAAGATTAAGTTTTTCTTACATGTAAATAAAAGATACTTTGTAGACTGTAGATTTATTTTTGCCTTCGACGGTAGATAAAGATGAAAAGGTTTTGGGTTTGAAATGACGTCATGTAACGTTTTCCTTTTAATGATTTGCCCGTTGAGATTTATTGCGATGTTAGGGGTGTAGCTTCAAACTTTGGGAAACAGGGTGAAGATGTTTATTCTACTGACGTGACTGTAACTGAAATTATAGCTGCTGCTTTAACCACTACAGCTGATCTCGTGCGTTGCAGAGAAAGACACAGGTGTAATCGTGTAAACCATGGAAAGCACTCCTTTAAAAAAAACAACAACAACTTGTGTATGTACATATATATGTGTGAAAAAGTAAACCAATCAGGACTGAACTGTTCATCCTGAACAGTGGTGCCATGCAGGACTTGACTGCTGTATGTTAGTCCACTCTGCAGGTTTGAGATGCCAACTCTGAGCACATCTTTCTGTAATGCTGTGATTGGGGATGTGTGACGATGGTAAGATTTGAGTGTGTTGTTTGATTGTGTTTTTCGTGTCGCTACTCAAAAACAACTGGAATGTCTTTTTTTCTAATTCCCTTATTTTGCCTTTGTTTTCATTTCATTCTATGTAATAAATATAAAAGATAGAATATGATCAAGTGCTCAAATTTCAACAAGTAGAAAGCGCGTTTCATTTAAGGGGACAGTTGCACACGCGTCTGTTTTGATCTGATACTTAAAACGACCCCAGTTGGTGTCTGATCTTGATAAAAGAAATAAAACCATTTTCTACTCAGAATTGAATTCGCTTGAATATCTTCGTCTTATCCACTTACGCTCTTCCACCAAGCGAGATCTTACAACGTCAGACTCCAGTGTGAGTGTGGGAACTCGGGGAACATAGATGTCTTACTAAGATGCGAGACTTCTGAGTTTTCCTCCTCCCACCTGGTACAAATCAGCGTGGAGGGGGTTTGTCTGCTCGCTGCTAATCTCTCAGGATGTCAGAGCTTTAATGTGGAGCTTTATATGAACCCATACTCGTGGTTTTGGGTTCTGCTGAGAGCTGCCAGAGTCCCTTTTTTCCTGTTTCTAAGAGGTAAGTGACTAGCAGCAGAGTTAATTATTGCATGGGAGCTGACACCATGCCCTCAGATACTTCAAGAGTGGGACTACTGCCTCTCTTTCCTCCCTCAGGAATTCCTTTTGTGAATGAACTTGTTTTCTATATCTGCCCCCTTGAAAAGGTTTTACTAACCCTCTATTAATCCTCTAAAGTGTTTCTGTCAGCCACAGTCATCCGTGGGCCAAGTGGACCAGCAACGTGGCTCTGGGCCCACACATATCCCCAACGGTGGCGCCAGCAAGGGGCCGTCACCTCGTGGTCAGAGTGATGTGAACTCACAGAAGGTGTTAACAGGGACATGCATTCCTGCTGAGGTCTGTGAGGTCCCCTCAGTATTGTAGAGTCTTTACTTTAAGCTATAAAGACGACTGTTGTTGTGAATCGATGCTTTTTGTATGCTTAACACCGAACTGAGAGATAGTACAACATTAATTAGGTTAGTAATCTGCAAACACGTAAAAGCGTGCAGGAATTACAGAGTGAAAAAAATCTGACATGTGTTTCTTTTGGACCAGTTATGTTCATTTTGTAAATCTTCTGCATAAAAACAACTTTAAGATATTGAAAATATAAAACATTTGAATAAAAATCTGAATTATTTGAGTGATATGTAAGGTTTCTGTATAAGGTAACAGTGCTCAGGTTGAACCAGAGGGTCGCGGTGTTGTATTCCTCATCCCACATCAGGCACGGCCACCGGAAGCTGCACCCGAGGAAAAAGATGGAATAACCCGTGAAGTAACCAGAGTGATACGGGAAGTTTAATTTCAAAATAATATACATTTGTTTTTCCATGCCGGTTACTTAACAGCATCAATGGCATAGAAAACAGTGTCTCGATAATATTGAACACGTAATTATTTAAAAACATGAGTAAAGTTAATAAATAATAAATTATTTATTAACTTATTAATAAATAAGTTAATAAATAATTAACTTATTTATTATGTGCAGTAGTAATATAAAAATTATTACTACTACTACTAGTAGTAGTAGTAGTAATAATAATAATAATAATAATAATGATAATGATCTATTGGACTATTACTGGCCTCACCCAGCATGAAAAGACTGATAAACTAAATTAAAATACATGAATTAAAGGTTAAAATATACAAATGAGAAATTGTGGAAAACTCGGTATTTAAAGTCGTCCTTGTTGTTACGTTTATTTTGAAAATTCCGACAGGAACTATCGTATGTTGTTTCCGCCCACTTAACTCTGGAGTAAAAAAATCACCCAGGCGAGTGGGAGGAAGCCAACTTGGAAACACGGCGGAGAGAAACTCCCTCTTGTTGGAGAGCGAGGTGGTCCAGCGGCTCTAAGAGCGGGCAACACAGACCGGGCTGTAATGAACCACCGCAGCCTAAATTCACAGCAGCCCTCCCCCTGCGAGCCACCTGGAAGTTTAAACTTCGCTTCAAACTTTCGGCGGGGCATCTCAGTCTGAACTCGTTCACTCGTTTTGTGTGAGCAGCCTGAAACCCGAAGCGTCCGCCCCACATGTTTCTGTTGTGCTCTCGCTAGTCTCCGGAACAACCAGGTGAGCAGGCCGTCTCGCTTTTCCCGGGAGGAGCCGCGCAGGCAGCGGTGTTGGTTTACCTGTAAGCACACGGTGACGCACGGATCTCTTTGACGCTCACCCCCCTGCTCCTGTGTTTCGCGCTGCGGCTCTCCCGTAGCCGCCGGAGAACAGCAACCCGGGAAGCCGCCGAGCACCGGGACGGTCATGGATCAACGAGGAGGGAGCGAGACCCGGCGGGGGGAAGGCTGGAGAACCCCCGCTGCGACTACCAGGAGGAGAATGCCGGTGGATATGATGTATGCTGTGGGCTTTATCTGCCTCCAAGGTTGGTAACAAGCTCCTCTACACTCCTACTACGAGCAGAGCACATATGGGTTTTATTTACTCCAGAGCATCCAGATACTGTAACTCCAGAAGAAGGAGTTTAAAAACATAAGTAAGTGCTGGTGGAGCCAACATGGACCTCCATGCTTTTGTGACTACTTATGTAGCTGGTTGAAGTTGGTGCACTGTTGGAACTCCGTGCAAAGAAGGGCTGCTACAGAGAGTAAAGGTGATGCTTGATGACTTTTTCATTCATGCAAGGAAAGTCTTTGTTGTACGTAGTGGAAATTTAAAGAAGTTAAATTTTGTTGGGCAGGGAGCGGTGGTCAGTGAGGAAAAGGGGGGTACCCCTCCCCCACTGAGCCCGTTTTTTTAAAGGGGGGGGGGGAGACTTGATTTTATGAGTTAGGACTGAGAGAAAACTTTAGGGAAGTTAGAGTTCGGAGGGGGGGGGGGGTGAAGAGTAAAAATGCTTTTAAATTGAAAGGTTTGAAATTGTTAAACACTTTCTTTTTCTCACAATGCTGCAGCTCTTCTGTTTGCATATCACTGTAATTACACAGTGATTAAATTTCTCATCTGCAGCAGCAGAGGGGAATGATGGGATGATAGCTGGTTGTAATCTATCACTGAAGCAGCCCTGCCATGTCATTATGTGTTCCCTTGAGTATACTTCAAACCTCACACAACACACTGGATACGCCATTCCTTGATTATCATATGCATAACTCTGTTTTGGGTGTTTGAGCTGCCTCTCAGCTTTGGCACGCTGCATCATGGGTGGCGGTGGAGAGGAGCTACAAAAAGTGGGGTAAAAAAAGATAGTCACGATCCTTCTCCGTGGCCTCCCACGGCGTGAAGCCTCTCCGGAGTCCATAACCTCAGCCGCAGAGCGAGAAGAAAGCCGCAAGAAGATCCTTCCCGAGTTTGTGCAGAGGAATGCTGCTATCCTGCTGGGGGATCGGGATCAGAGACTCTGTGTTCCTCGTGTCAAAACTGAGTCAAGTTTTATCTGATCTGCACAGATTGGGCTTTTGCTCGCTCTGTCGGCGCAGCAGTGATGGTCAAAAGTGGCTGAAAAATTCCTTGGAGTTGAAGTGTGTCTGGTGCCCACCCCCCTCCGTCCCTCCCTGCCCCCTCTTTTCCAGTCTCCTCATGGTGCCCGCTTTGGGGGATGAATGTGTCCTCTGTGTGCAGGCAGCAGCAGGGGAGACGGAGGCAAGCAAAGCAGTGGGTTTGTGTTTATAAAATGAATGAATAGAGCCAAGCCAGGTACCTTCACGACAGCCGTGCTTTTTTAACCCAACCTTAGGAATGCCCTATTTTTGTATTTTTTTTAAAAAGGGGGCCTCTGAATGGGTGAAAGCGCCACAGAGATCTTTACTCCCCACATGAAGCCGTCCGCACCAAACACTCCATGTTCCTGTGGCCAAATATTTACTGAGATCTGTCTTTATTTTGACTTGGCAGTCATAACTCTTTGCTCGGCTCTCTGCTCCTCTGTTGATCTGGTTTCTATTTGTAGCCGACGTGACGTGGCAGCCCTCTGGAGTACATGAAAGCCACTCATCCAGTCAATGTCCATAACGTTAATGCAGCATCTCTCTTATCTGCTCATCTATGGTGTATTTTTCATCATCTTTGCCTCTTTGTTTCTCTCCCCGTCCTGAAAGATTTATGTGAAAAAATGACTGGGCTGGTTGCAGAGGAGCGGCTCTTGTCAGGCCCTCGTCTTTGATCTTTCTCCCTCTCTCTGTCTCGGGCAGCTGGAGAAAATCACTCTATCACGCTAATAATCATCATTTTGCGATGATTAATGCACATGCTGTCCAGCTTCTTCTTGGGAATCACTTCTGAGTTTAGACTTTGTTTACTGTGTGGATGTTCTCTCCGGCTTTTCAGAATCTGCTATAAAACAAAACGCTGTTGCTACACTGCGCAAACCACAGAGCACGGCACTGGATCTGTTCATCTCTCAAAAAGGGGAAGAAGGTTTCAAGTAGAAGGATGCAAGATGTCAGTATTATCCCAAAGCTCTCCTATCCTGGAAAGTCGACCAGTGGCTGTGAGGATGCCTCGCTGGCGTACCCACCTGCTGTTGCTCTATTTTAAAATCCATACGCTTGCCTCTTATTAGCCCTGCTGGGGTTGAAGGCTGTTTGGCTGCACACAAGGCAGATTCTCCGAATGCTTAAAGTCAGAGGGGATGGAGGGATGTAGACTAAACAAAGACAGAAGTGCATTGTGTTGAATTTGGAATTTGTCTGTTTACTATCAGAGGCGTGCGCAGCTGTTTCTAATAACTGTGTTGAAACTGAGCCATTGGCTGTGAAAAAAAAAATAAAAATCCATATATATTTGATTGGATTGCAGTACAGACCGCAGCATGATTGTCTTCATGCATTTTGAAATTTCATCACAAGATGATATTGAGAAAGACCGATGAACATCTGTGCTGTGCAATGCATCACCTAACAGCAGCCTTTCTACACGTGTTATATTATTCCACTTATTTAATGATCTGATGGTAAATTTTCTTTTCAGTAATAAAAAACTCCTCATGCCTCATTTTGTAGCTGATGGGTGTTTCAGAGTTCGTTTAGGTGGCCTTCTAATGTAATGTCATTACCCTGCTTTCTGTCATCTCTATTAACAGTATCGGTCACGCCTACACAAAAGTGCTTCAGTCGCTCTCCTTGAAGTTTGGAAAACATTAAGTTGCGTTGCCAGTGGTAATTTGGCCTGTTGTCGTTGAATGGCACTGACTTTCTTTTGGTCTCTGGGCTGCCTTGTTTAGTTCGATCCTCTGATTTAGGATTTTTAAGACCCATACTGATATTTCTTTCAGTCGCACTTAAAATACACAGAGTTCCCTAAAATGTGTTATGTGTAGTTATTTATTTACTTGTTCACACTCTGTTGATCAGCCTGTTGAAACTTCCCAGTGTCCATGGCTGACCTTTATCTGTGTGCCTTCAGTTTTGCAGTTAGGTAAGATATGATGAAAAGATTAAACACTCAAAAAATGTTCTTTTTTTTTTACTCTGTCAGAAATAAATATCAGCAAAATAAACACAGAAAACACAAATATTTGTTCGTCTTCTTTTTATCGTAATTGGTTTTTGAGAATCTCCCAAATACCCCGGTGACAAAGACAAACGATCCGGGTTTCTCTTCTCCAATTTATGTTATTTATTGAGCAATATACTCTCAATATAAGCTGATGGTTATCAGTTATCAATACCTCGTGTTAATATTGCCCACAATACAGCCCCAGTCGGTTTACCAGTTAGTCAATAAGAACAAGAATCAAGAACTGGTCCAATCTGTGACATTCATATGCCTGTAAGTGTTATAAATGCTGGCGTGTCACAACAGTGAAGCTTTTGCTCATCTGAGTCACACTCGCACCTTTTTTCCCCTAATATTTTCAGTTTCTACTGTTAATTAAACAGTTGTGTTGACACTGAGAAGCCTCGATGATTCCCGATCAGTTTTCTGTGAGTGGGAGGGGGGAAAGGGAGCAGCTGAAGTATTGATACGCAAATGGACCCATAAGCAGACTTGATAAAACCCCTTGGAAGCAGTGAAATGGCACAAACCATTCCTGTTAGAGCATAGACCTGCGTTACAAAGCAAAGAGGAGAGGAATGTCCCAGCAGCCGTTTAGACCTTTAAAGAGTAGGTAAACAAAGGCGTGCTATGAAAGTAATGAAAGCTCTGCTGTATTTAGCTACCGGGCCTTAATGAATATAATGAGTAACACCTGTGTTTATCTACGCTCTCGTATCAAAATGTCTTCTGCGGATTTTGTCTGTACAGATCGGTGTCTCGGCGCGTTTGTGCATATGGGAGACTTTAACTGGTAGCACTGGTTGTGTGAACAAGGGGGGAGGATTTCTCAGCGTCTTCGGTGGCTCTTATTTCTGGTCGTTTATCAGCCGTGTTTATTCAGGTTTAGGTGAAGCCTTTTGAACTCCACGGTCCCCTGTTTTCCTAAGCCGGCTTGCATTCACTCCCATTATGGAAGGCTCTTTTCCCAGGGGGGAGGATCTTCTTGCACTCTTGCAGAGGCTACATTCATGGCAGCCCACTGGGGTCCATGTCATTTTTAAATTGATGCATCTTCATCATCTCGGTTTTCCGTCCTTCCAGCGACCCCGAAATCGATCTAGGTGTGCCAGCTTTAAGGATGCTGGGACATGGAGGCACACAGCACTGTTGAAGATTTGTCAGCTGGCAAACGCATGTTACTGTGATGCCTCTGCACATGGTCTCTCTTGTGTCAATAAAAGCCTTCTTTTTTTATGTTATTTTTCTTATGGGGAATAAGCTCTTTTTCGTTTTAGTTTTCCTGCCAGCTAAATGAGTTGTTTGGAGTCATTTTGAAGTTATGGATCAGTGGTTGCCAAAAACAACACTCTCACCAGCCCCAGAGGGAGAGTAAAGAAAGAAAGATGGATGTGATAGCTTATAAGATGTAGTGTTGACTACTATTTTCCAGGCGCTGACATTTAATGTTCGGTATGTGCGCCTAAGGAAGCTTACCTGCTGATATGTGCAGGTTTATTTTCTTTATACTGACCACTGCTCTTTGCAGCCCCTGTTGTTTCTGTAATGACCCACTGAGTGCTGCATGCATGTCTGTGTGATGCTGTGCATGCGTGTGGTTGCGCTGGCTCCTGCTGCAAGGCCCTGTGGTCGTGATTGGAATCAACCCTTGTAGCTCTCCCGTCTCCTTTTCCTTGTTTCCTGTTGCAGTTGGTTTGTTGCTTCTCGTGCTCGACCGTCTCATGTGGAAGGATCGCTCTTGTTTATCGACTCGGTGCCTCTACGGCTCTGTCTCCTGTCTGGACTGAACTAGCGGTTAACCCCCCCTTTACTTATTTTGTGTTATGCACAGAAACTATAGCGTTTTCAATTACTTGCTTACCCAGTTGGCAAATTTATCAGAGCTCAAGTGGTGAAATCTTCCAATCAATAGACAGAAAATAAACTGCA